CTTGAATTGTTGCCTGTCAGAAGATTCAAATATTTTGATGCTGTTGGTAATTTTTAGGTACTGATTAGAAATAACATTATTTATAAATTAGCTGCCCTGGGGCTCCACAGAATCAGGAAGGTTGGAAAAGCCCTCCAAGATCACAGAGTCCAACTGTTCCCCTGGCACTGCCAGGGCCACCACGGACCCGAGTCCCCAAGTGCCACATCCAAGTGTTTTTTGAGCTTCCAGGGATGGGGACTCCACCACAGACCCTTCCAATGCTCACTAACTCTTCCAGTGAAGAAATTTTCCCAGATATCCAAAGTGAAGCTCCCCTGGAGCACCTTGAGGCCATTCCCTCTCCTCCTGTCCCTTGTTCCCTGGGAGCAGAGCCCAACCCCCCCCAGCTCCCCCCTCCTGTCAGGGGGTTGCAGAGCCAGAAGGTCCCCCCTGAGCCTCCTTTTCTCCAGGCTGAGCCCCCCCAGCTCCCTCAGCTGCTCCTGCTGCTCCAGCCCCTTCCCCAGCTCCATGTTTGGCTCTGTTCCCTCCTCTCTTCTGGGACTGGGACAGCAAACAACTGAACAAGCCACTCAACAACCTGTTTCAGTTGGAATCACACAGGCTGGAAAAGCAGGTTTTGTATTTTTGGTTTGTCCCTTCTCAGCTCAGAGAAGTTACTCCATCCATGGCTTCCCTGCTCCTTAAATTCGAGGGTTCACTTGCCCCAAGGGGCAGCATTTTCAAGGACTGGGATTTGTTGCCTCGGTGTAAATCCAGCCCTTTCAGTGCCCCAGCAAGGCACTGTTGCCTCGTGTCTTACAACCCCCCCTGGGCCCTGCAGTCTGGGTTACTGAGGTTAATTCTGGGGGTGCATCAGTTCAGCCAGAAAAAACTGAATAAACACAGGAGCCTTGTGTCCCTGGCACGGGCTGAGGGACGGACACAGTCTGCACAGGCAGAGCCTCAAAGCTGAATAAAATTAACGGGGCTGCTTTGGGGTGGGGGTGAAGCTGCCCCTGATTTGGGATGGGATTGTGAAGCTGCCCCTGGTTTGTGATGGGACTGTGAAGCTGCCCCTGGTTTGTGACGGGATTGTGAAGCTGCCCCTGGTTTGGGATGGGATTGGGAAGCTGTCCCTGATTTGTGATGGGATTGGGAAGCTGCCCTGGTTTGGGATGGGATTGGGAAGCTGCCCCTGGTTTGGGATGGGATTGGGGAGCTGCCCCTGGTTTGGGATGGGATTGGGGAGCTACCCGAAGGAAGGTGCTTTCTGGATTCTTTGGGAAGGTGGAAATGCAATGGTGGCACTGGGGGAGGTGGTGGGAGAGGAGGCTCCCCCCAGACTTCCTCAGAGCCATGTGAGGAGTCACTGATGCCTTTAGAAACAAAAATGCAGGTGAACAGACTGTCACTGTCACCTGGGGAGGGCTGATCAGTGTCTTGGACCCAAAACTCCCAGGGCTGGAGCCCCTCTGCCCTGGAGCCAGGCTGGGAGAGCTGGGGGGGTTCCCCTGGAGAAGAGAAGGCTCCAGGGAAAGCTGAGAGCCCCTGGCAGGGCCTGAAGGGGCTCCAGGAGAGCTGGAGAGGGACTGGGGACAAGGGATGGAGGGACAGGACACAGGGAATGACTTCCCACTGCCAGAGGGCAGGGAGAGATGGGATATTGGGAAGGAATTGTTGGCTGGGAGGGTGAGGAAGGGCTGGGATGGAATTCCCAGAGAAGCTGTGGCTGCCCCTGGATCCTTGGAAGTGTCCAAGACCAGGTTGGATGGGCCTTGGAGCAACCTGGGCTGGTGGGAGGTGTCCCTGCCCACGGCAGGGGGTGGAACGGGATGGGATTTAAGATCCTTCCCACCCAAAGCATTCCATGGCCCTGGGATGTCTGATCCCGTGTCCTGGTCCAGCTCTGCACAAACCTCCCCACACAAACTGCAGGAGCAGGTTGGTACCAAGTGCTGGGTGATCCCTGGGAGTTTGAGCAGTTCAGTTTTCTTTGAGGGAGTTTTCCTGTAAATCCAGGCATGCACATCATCCTTTAATACATTCTGAGATCTCAAGCTCTGTGCTGCACAAACCCAGGGACTTTATAAGTTTGTCATATGTTGGATAAATTTCTTGAAAAATGTTCTTTTGGTTGCTTTTGGTTTAACTGGGGGTTTTAACCTCTTTATCCTTAAAAATGATACTAATTGACTTCATATTATTCAGGTCTTAATTTGCACTTGGATGTCTCCCCTTACCCTCCCTATTCTGGATTTCAGTGGATCATAAACCCCCCAACAGTTCAGTTCAGAGAGATCCAGCTGCACTGAGGACTGGGGCTCTCATTGAACAAGATCTGAGAAAACCAGGGAGAAATCTTTAGCCCCTCAAACACTATTTTTCCTCAGGATTCCTTATCCCTGTATTTCTTCAGCTACTTTACCCAGCACTGTGAAAACCTCAAGCCTCGACTTAAATGCTGCTCAGTTTGCTGGGTTTTATTAAAGACAGAACAAAATTAAACACAGCCAGAATTCCACAATCCTAACTTTGTCCTGATATTTAATTATTTTTCTTTTATTTGTTGTGTTCCAAAATTTATGTGCAGGAAGGAGAAGAAATGTTAAATATTTAGTTCAAAACACTGATGTGTGTTGGAGTTTAGTCACAGAAGGAACTTCATATTGCACTTAGTATTCAAATTTAATGCTCAGGAGTTTAATTAGTAAAGTGTTTAGAAGAAGAATTAATAGTGGGAAAGAAAGGATAAACGGGACATTAGTTTAAGTTCAAGTGAGACAATGTTTGGAAGTGTTACAAATGAAAATAAAGGCAGAAAAATAATATAATGACACATAGGAACTGAGCAATAAGGGTAAGAAACAGCAAAGTGGAAAAATTTAAGATAATATAACTGGAAAGTAAAATAATCCAAACATACTCATTGCAAAGGAAAGAAGCACAAACTGAGCTGCAGCAGGCATTGAATCAGAGCTCAGCTGAGGGTAAAACAGTTAAAATGAGCAAACCCAGGAAAAGTGAAGCAATAAAACGTTGTCAGCTCCCGAAAATGTCTGGGGAGGTTTCTTGTTGTCTCCAGCTGTTTAAAGCAGCTGGATGGAGGGGGAAAGTGTGTTATCCAGGCTGCTGGAAGAGGGAAGGAGGAGAGGAAGGTAAAGTGTCCTTCTGTCCTCAGCTGGGGGAAAAGAGGAAACATTTCCCCAGGAAGAAGGGGATGGTCACTCCTTGGTTCCTTGTGTTTATGTTTTTATATACATATATATATTTATTTCAGTATGTGAGCATATGTGTGCTTACAGTTATATATATATATATATAAATGTATATAAATCTCTTCTTTCTAATTTAAGGTTTAATTTAAGAGTTGGTCTCACTTGGGATAACAGATCTTTTTTTTTTTTTAATAAATGAGTAAATAAATAAAATTCTAGACACAACTTGGACATGCCTATTTAAAAGGAAATAAAAGCCAATCAGTGTAGCTGCACTAAAATGGGGTTTGCATGTGCCACTTACACCCCCAAACCCGTCTGTTCTGCCCCCAAAATTCCAGCTCAGTGTGTTATCCCCCCCTGTGCTGTCCCACCCCCCCTGTCTCAGTGCCCTGGGCTTTACAGCAAAACACTCCTGGCCTTGCTGGCTCTGGAGATATTAAAGGATTTGGGATTTTTTTTCCCCTTGCTAAGTCAGTATTTTGCCATTTTCAATCTCTATTTATGCAGATCAACTTCTTATATTCTTATTTTTCTCCTGCCTTTTCCAGCCCTTGCTTTTGATCTTCCTTGGAGCCACAACACAGTGGATTTTCCTCCCGTGTCCAGTGCCCAGCTGAGCTCCTGAGCTGTGCTGAGCTGGTTCATTGAGCCCTTGTTGGTGACAGAAGCAGAAGTTGCACTTTCTGTCTCACTCCTCCTTTCTCCTTCTCCATTTTTGAGCTGGGGGGGGAAAAAAAGGGATTTCAGCAGCTGTCATTGCAAAATCAGCTCCAGCCCCTGCCAGCTTCCATTTCCTCCCCAAAATAAGATTACTACTAATTGTAACACTGGAAGAGTATTGGGGGTTTTTCTATAACACTCACAGCTGAAGAAAAAGGGAATAAGACTATTAAAATGCTTTATCTAACAATTGTTATGTTCCCCCCCCCATTTCTATATTAAGGCATTTAAAAATGTGTAATGGCAGTTGCTCCTGTGAGTCTGGAGAAACTCTGACTTGCTGGTTCCCACTTGCTGGGTGGATTCAGAGAGGCAACTTGAAGAATAATTTCAGCTTTTGATCTTGGATTAATCTAAATTCTCTCCAACGTGACCCAAGGGATGCTGGCAGTGGCATCCCTGGGGCTGCTCCGGGCTGGGCCTGCTGTCCCAGCGGGCAGAGGGTCTCCTGAGGGGGTCAGGGAGGGATCAGAGTCACCTTGGAGCCACCAGGAATGGGGATGGTTGGGTTTCCAGGCAGATCTGCACAATTAGGGTGTTGTGCAGCCGCTCCTGCTAAACGTGAGCAGCCACAAAGCTCCACCAAAGGAACGACCAGAGAGCTTTGGAATTGTCTGCAAGAATCACAGCAAAGGCTGGGCAGGTCAGGAAGGACATGGAGGGGCTGGAGCAGGTCCAGGGAAGGGCAACGAGGCTGGGGAAGGGACTGGAGCACAAGTGCTGTGAGGAGAGGCTGAGGGAGCTGGGGGGGCTCAGCCTGGAGAGGAGGAGGCTCAGGGGAGACCTCCTGACTCTGCAACTCCCTGACAGGAGGGGGGAGCTGGGGGGGGTCGGGCTCTGCTCCCAAGCAATTATCAGCAAGACAAGAGGGCTGGGTCTTCAGCTGTGCCAGGGGAGGTTTAGGTTGGATATTGGGAAGAAATTCTTTCCAGAGAGGGTGATCAGCCATTGGAATGGGCTGCCCAGGGAGGGGGTGGATTCTCCATCCCCGGAGGTGTTTAAGGTGAGACTGGATGTGGCCTCAGTGGACTTGATGGTTGGACTCGATGATGTCAGAGGTCCCTTCCAACCCAGCTGATTCTCTGATTCCATGACACCCTCTGATCATCTCACAGGTCTATGGGCAAGTCTTGGTGTGTTCAGAGGAGACTGAGGGGAGACCTCAGTGCAGTTCCAATTCCTGGGCAGGGGCAGAGGAGGGGCAGGGACTGAGCTCTGCTCTGGGGGACCAGGGACAGCACCCAGGGAACGGCTGGAGCTGTGTCAGGGCAGGCTCAGGTTGGATCTCAGGGAAAGGTTCTTCCCCCAGAGGCTGGTTGGGCACTGCCCAGGCTCCCCAGGGCAGTGGGCACAGCCCCAAGGCTGCCAGAGCTGCAGGAGGGTTTGGCTGATCCTCTGGGGCACAGGGGGGGACTCTTGGGGCTGGGTCTGTGCAGGGCTGAGGGTTGGACTGGATGGTCCTTGGGGGTCCCTTCCAGCTCAGCATATTCTGGGATTCTGTGAAGTCTTCCTTGCACTGCTCTGAGCAAAGTGCTCATCCCTGGCTGGAGAGAAGATGGGGTGAATTTTCTCCTGCAGAATCACTGTCAGAGTGAAGCTCTGGGATCTGGACACTCCCCTGCCTGAGCACAGGCAAGAGATTATGGAGCAGGAAGGTTTGGAGTCCCCAGCCCTGGAGGTGCCCAAGGAAGGCCTGGCCATGGCACTCAGTGCTCTGGGCTGGGGGACAGGGTGGGCATCGGGCACAGGGGGGACTTGATGATGTGGGAGGTCTTTCCCAACCTTAATGACTCTGTGATTTGACTGTAAGTTGGATCAAATGTTTGTTGCCATCCCAAAGAAGGAGGGTTGTTAAATACACTTCTCCCACAAAGCCGTCCTGAGCTTCCCAGCTCAGAGAAGTGCCAAAAAAAAATGGAGTTACTGTGTCTGTGTTAGGAAGAAAAGGAAATTTAAGGTTGTTCTGGATGCCCTTTTCCTGCTTTCTGTGTTTCAGCAGCACTTCTGAGCTGTGAAAATCCCTGGCACTGGGTGAAGTGGCAGATGGAGGAGTGGGGGGAGCTGGGGTGGGGAGGTTTGGACAGAGGGGCTCAGGGGGACAGGGGAGCTCAGGGGGACAGAGGAGCTCAGGGCCAGGCTGGGACACCTGGAGCAGCTTCTCCTGGATGAGGAAGTCTCCGAGGGAAGTTTCCTGTCTTTGCCTCACCTGGATACCCCACGAGCTGAGCAGCTGTTGGGTGTTCCAGGGGCATGTTGGGTGTCCTTCCCCAGGGGAGCACTTGGTGTAGCCCCCAGAAAATGTGGTGCAAACCTGCTCTGACCCAGCTGGGTCACCTGAGCACTGATGCCACCAGTTTTTCCTGCTGCTCCTCCCCTTTCTCACCCCCAAAACATGCCAGGAAGGATGGGCAGGGGGGTGTTGTTTTGAGTCCTCCTCAGAATTTCAGCTGTGTTAAGGAATAAACCAGGTTTAGGAGATTTTCCCTTTCTCTTTTCTGATTCCTCTGGGTTTGTGAGGATTGTTTTCCAAGTGTAATTAAGTTATTGTCAGGCCTGTTTGCTGTGTGTGGACCAGAGGGGTATCGTGGTATCACGGAGGCAGGTGGAAAGAACCCAAAATCTTAATTCTAATGCTGGAAATATCTTTATTAAAGTCCAGCAAAGATCTTCAAATGCTTTCTGAACAGGCCATCTGTCAGCTGAACAACACACCTGCCTGGGGAGTCACAGGGAGAGCCCAGGGTGGCAGTGAGGACACTGATTTTGATTTATTATTTTTTTTCAGACCTCAAACACCTCCTGGATGTTTTCCAGTCTCTGCCCTGGAGACCCCCCAGCCCCAAGGCCAGAGCACGGGGGGCAGAGGATGAAGTAAGCCTTTGCTTCTTCTACTTCCAAACAAAAGACTCCCAGTATAAAATATATTTTAAAAGGGAAAAGAAGTAGATATGAAGTGTAAACTGAGGTGTCAGTGAGTGAGGGAAGGGAGTAAAGTCAATTGTGCCCCGTGCCAGAAGGTGCCCTGAGTAGCTGTGACCTTCATGGTCATGATCTGACAGGTGATCCTGGTGAATGGGAGTAAGTTGTGAGGATTTGGGTGCCATCTCAACAATTAAATTGATCTTTTTAATGCTCTGGTGAAATTCTGGTCAGAAATTGAAGAGGAATCTTTGTTCTTTAGAAACACCCTGAGCAGTAGAAAGTGCTGGGAGCAGGTGCTGCTGAGGGAAGGGATGGAACCTTTCCCTTTGGAGCCTGTTTGAGAGGGAGTGGAGTGTGGGAAGAGGGTGGGAGAATCCCAGAATCCCAGACAGGGGGATTGGGTTGTGAGGGACCACAGTGTCCCATCTGGTCCCACCTCCTGCTCCAGCAGGGCCAGCCCAGAGCACCTGGCACAGGGTTGTGTCCAGAGGGGTCTGGAATATCCCCCAGGAGGGACAGTCCACCCCCTCTCTGGTCTCTGTTCCAGTCACAGCAAAGAAGTTCTTCCTCCTGCCCAGGTGGAGCTTCCTGGGCATCAGTTCCTGCCCGTTCCTGCTGTGCCATTGCTGGGCCCCCCCAGCAGAGCCTGGTCCCTCCTCTGCCCCCTCCTGCAGCCCTGAGGGACAGAAACACAGATTTGGCCTCTCCCCAGGGTTCTCCAGCCCTGGCACAGCTCATGGCTCGTGTCTGCCCGGGGGCTGCACCTTCTGTGCTGTTCCCCAGTGGAATGTGATGCCACTGCTGCTCCTTGGCTTCGGGGCCCCAGTGTGAGCAGTGAGTGCCTGGTTCCTGCTGGCTGATAAACGTGACACTCCAGCTGCCAGCAAACCTCACACCAGGTTCTTCCTCTCCTCACCCCCTCTAGGAGGCCCACCTTGCACCTTGGAGAGGGCTGGGAAAAATGACGGAGTGTTTAGGGCAAAAAGATGCTTTCAAGTAAATGATACTCTGAAGATGAAGGTCTTTGGATTCTTGGCCATGTAATAAAACTTTTTGGGGCAGGTCTTGTGGCAAGTATTTAATAGAATCAGAGACTCACAGAATCATGGAATCATAGAATTATGGACTCATAGAATCATGGAATCATGGACTCATAGAGTCATGGAATCATGGAATGATGGAGACAGAATCATAGAATTATGGACTCATAGAATCATGGAATTATGGACTCATAGAGTCATGGAATTGTGGACTCATAGAATCATGGAATTATGGACTCATATAATCACAGATTCATAGACTCATAGAATAATTGATTGGCCTGGTTTAAATGGGGCCCTAAATTTCTTAACTTTCTCTGCAAGATTCTTCTTTGTCACTGCTAACTGGGCAAGGTGGAGTCTCATCCACTGGAGGTGCAAAGTCTGATGTCATTTGTGTGTCACATCTTCCTCTGTGAGTGCTGCTCCTCCTCCACCACTCCCCTGGAGTGCCCTGGGCTTGGGGTTTGGGGCAGCTGGAACATCTCCAAGATTTCTTCCTGCCTGTTAAAATTTGGAGGTGCAGCTGCCTCTGCTGTGAGTCGGGGAGAACTTTCTTTGGAGTTTTATTTGCCCAGTGGTGGCTTTTTAACGCTTCATCTTTCTGGGAGCTGGGGAGTTCCTCGGCTGCTGTTGTGCCAGAGGATGGATTCACGTGGTTGGCACCATCCTGCCCTTCCCCCTTCATCCCTGGGAATTCCCCCAGGGACGTGGGGGGATTTTCCCTCCTTTCTGTCCATCCTGCCCTGGTGCTCACTAAATGGGTGAAGTCTCCTTGGTGTGACCAGAGTTAACCCTGGCACTGGCAGAACGTCACCTGTGATTTTGCCCTCCTGCCAATGGCCTGTGGGGAAGTTGCTGCCTGGAATTAGGGATTTTAGTGTGATAAACGTCATGATTATCATCTTTTGGGATGAGGAATATCCCACCTTTCTGTGCATAAATAGAAATGTCCATGCACATCCTCTTTAACAACCCCCAAGAGGTCCTGTTTTGCTCTCTAATAATCCCAGGGTGGGAACTCTCCCTGCTCCCCCTCACTGCTCCCTAATTACAGTGGTTTTTACTCTCCAACACCTTAGAACTGTCAGCTTTCATAGTAAGGCCCTTCCTCTTCAGATATGAATTTATTTCTCCCTCCCAGCATCACCCCTTTGCCACTGGGCTGGCCAGGGTTGAGCAAAAATGGCTTTCAAGCCCTGGGATGTTCTGAAGATGCTGAGCTGCTGTTAAACAGTTTTATTTATTTATTTATTTATTTATTTATTTATTTATTTATTTATTTATTTATTTATTTATTTATTTGACTTAATCTCATTCTGTATCACAATGTGATTTTCTTTTATGACACAATTGACACGAACCATGTCCTGCAAAAGGAGTTGGATGCCTCAGTTCTGAAGTTCAGTGTTCCTGTGCTTTTGCTGCCTTGTTTCAGGCTCTCTCAGTGCTGTGGTTTAGCAAAGATTTGGGGTGTTTTGCTGGGTTTTTTAGGACTGGGCTTCTGGGAACAAAGTTATTAAACAAATCACGGGGGGCCCTGTGGAAAATGGGCTGTTTGGTGAGAGCAGGAGATTTACAAGTGTTTCTTCAGCACCTTAAAAATTTATTTACAGAGCAGTGGAAATGTGGATTGGCTTCAAGTTGGATTCTCAGCTCTCCCAGCTCTCCATAAAGTGGGGTGGACTGTTAATAAATGAACAAGCAAATCAGGAAACAGAAAGGATGTAAAGATAGGCTCCTTATCAATCTGAATTTTAAAGGCAATCTCCCACTTTAAGCCTGTCCCCTGAGTTGGTACCTGAGTTCTGCAGCCCTGGAATTACTCAGCAGATAAAGGAATTATCCCAGTTTTCCCAGAAGGGCTCTGCCAGCAGCAGCAGCATCTGCAGGGATGTTTAATGCCCTGAAGGCAGAAGCAAAGGTCCCTCTTGGTCTGTTCCAGGGGTGATGGATGTGCAGGGAAAAGCAGGGCTGGGGCTGGTTTTCCTCCTGTGGGGAATTCCTCATTAAAACAGGGGGAATTTGGGAAGGGGATGAGCCACAGGTATAAAAAAGTAACTTGTGTCAGGGTAAAGAGAACAAACCTGCTGCAGTCCAACACTACAAACAGGGAATGGGAGGGTGTTAAATCCCAGAAATAACATCAAATCCTGGGATTATGGGGTTGGGTCCCACTGCAAGTGTGTGCAAGGAAACCCTTGCACAGGGTGGAGCAGCTCTGCTGAACTCCCCCCTCTGAGCAGTGTTTGTCCTGCCCTCGTGCTTTGTATCCACATTTTTGGTGGGATTCAGTCTAAAATCTTCCCTGGCATTTCTGTCACTGGCCTGTGATCCTTGGTCCTTCTTCACCTCCAGCTTTGAGTTTATTTTCCATGTATCCCCACTGTTTTGTTTTGTCCTCCTGCTGTATCTCTACCCTCTGCAACCTGGGGGAAAATTGTCTTATAGGGGTATTTATTTTCATCACAAAAAGTGGGTAAAAGAGAACAGCAAATAATCCAGTTGTACCAAGGTAAAATGAACTCTCCACTGTAAATTCCTTAGAGGAATTGCAGCTGCTTTATTCAATAAATCAGGTTTTCAAGTGCTTAAAACTTGAAAAGTTTTAAGTGTGTGAGGTCACTGACTGGAGCTTTGGCTGTTTTGAGGTGAGTTTTAGCTGTCAGGTCATCCAGTGCTCCTGCAAAGACACGGGCAGCAGAATTTGGGGTTACTCGTGGCATTTTTGATGGAGTGGTCACAGGACAGAGGAATCCTGAGAGCCATTTTCCTTGAACATGTACCATGAATTCCTTCCTTCCCATTTTGGGAAAGGACTTCCCCCTGAAAATGTGCAGGTTAAACAGTTAATGGGTTATCAAAGTATCACAGAAGCATCGAGTGGTTTGGGTTGGAAGGGACCTTAAAGCTCATCTCGTACCACCCCCTGCCATGGGCAGGGACACCTTCCACCAGCCCAGGTTGCTCCAAGCCCTGTCCAACCTGGCCTTGGACACTTCCAGGGATCCAGGGGCAGCCACAGCTTCTCTGGGCAACCTGGGCCAGGGCCTCCCCACCCTCATTATAAAAAGGGTCACACTC